GATTGTCTAATAGTGTCTAGATTCTAGATATAGATTTAGTGCTATTATTCACTTAGGGTGTCTATGATTAATGCCTATGTGTTGGTTGTGTTGGCTGAGAGATCGTTAACACGAGTGACACGATTGACTTCTGTTTTGTTGAGGTGGTTGAGAGATCTCTACCGAGGTGATACAGTGGGTGTTGTGTTTGACATGTGATGACATTGACGAGTATTTTAGGTTGAGTATAATCGGTCGATATGTTTAATTTTGTGAGGAGTGGATTATATGCATGCTTAATAAGTTGTTCCTTGAAAGAATGGATTTATTTTCTTGTCAATAGTTTTTACCTTTCCTTACATACAATCCATTCAATCCCCCTAACTCATTAACGAATGATTTGTCGAACAGAGGATCGATACCAATCTCTGTGGACACGATACGATATAACCTATATCACCTGATAAAATTAATACTTTACTTTTTGCTTGCCGCTTTACCGCTTCGGCAAAATGGCGTCGTTGTCGGGGATTGATTTATTATTTCTCATCACGATAATTTCTTTGTTTTTGAGTTTTGTAATTAATGTATATGTTGTATAGAATTTGTGCATGAACTTTTTTTATGTTTACTTGTAAATTTATTTGTTTATTTTTACCACACTTGTACATCTTTACTATACTTATAAATTTGTTATATCATTGTTTGTTTCCTTTCATGTTTGCTTGTGTGTTGGTTAAGAATAACCTGGTGGAAGTAACTTGGAGGAAAGTTCTTAAATAATAGGCATCGAGTTTACGACGTAAAACAAGCATGTTTTATGGTTTTTCATTTTGTTAGTTTAGGTAGTTGAATGCAATTGTCTAAACAAATTTAACTCGGACTAGTTCTTAAATTTCATATCTTCACTTTTAAATTTGTTTAGACAATTTCATTCGGTATTTTAGTATGTGTATATTATTTATGTTCATTTTTGTATTTGTCTTTGAGCTTGTTGTGAATAGCTTGAGGATATTGAGGTGATTTGTCAAGTTTGATCGTGTCTACTTACGAATGCGTGGTAATGATTTTGTTAAGGTTTTGTACATGTTCGAGTTATGTGTTTATCGCTTTCTATACTTTAGCATATTCATGATACTTAAACTTTTTACAATTTTTGTACCATTCATTCTTTTGTATACTTATTCATTTGTAATCACTTTAGTTCCTATCCTTTTTGTGAGGTAGCTTTCCATTGTTCGCATATATTGGAGGCTACATTCTTGTGTTAACTGGATTTTATTATGCTTAATCTTTTGTTTGTGTTGATTGTATGAATACATGAAAGTGATCAAGACATTTTGTTTTGTTTTGAGCACAACTACCTAGCCAAATAGTCAATTCACATTGTGAGTGTGTGATCGTTAGTATTCCCTTTTGAGCTTTTTGTCGATATCCATGCTGTTTTTTCTTAATGCTTGTCTATGAGTGTTGAGTTCATCTTTTTATATGGACATTTATTCTTTGTTTTCTTGAACTCTTAACTACGATTTATAGGTTGAATTTTTTCCTTGCCTTATAAAGTATGGAGTATTCATATTATGATGATGGTTGAATTCAAGTTGGGGAGAGGAATGTTTATGTGCTCTTGTGTGTATTACTACCAGGTTGTAAAAAAAAAGAGAAAAAAAAAGAAAAAAAAGTGAAAAAAGTGATAAGAAAAAAAAGAAAAAAGAGAAAAAAGTTTAGAAAAATAAAAACAAAAAGAGTTCGAATAATTGTGCGAATAAGTATTGTGATTGGTTTGAGAAATTTGGAATGAAGAATAAGTTTGATTTAAATTGTGTTGCTTGAGTCTTTGTGAGTTGATCACTCCCTTAGGTTAAGGCAAGTTTTTGTTTCGATTAGCTTTACGATTTATCTCTTGTTTGTTAACCAAGCCACATTACAACCTTGAAAAGTCCTTATGATTCTTGCTTTTATGTCTTCAACATGAGTTTTTGGATGAGTGCATAATTTAGTCTAATTGTTTGCAAGATTGTGGATGAGTGAAAATACCTCATTTTTTGTGTGTTTGTCATCTACCAATTATTGTTTTTTCTAGGTGTGATTCATTTGTGAACTAGTGTTGTTTTAGAATGTTTGGAAAAAATTTTGTATTTAGCATTTGTTTCGTGTTTATGTTATAGTCATAGCTTAGTGGTAAGTGCTTACTTTGTGTGTGTTGTTTTTCATTTGAACTATTACATTTCTCTCCGTTTTCAAAACTTGTCGATTCGTGATTCTTTGGTTGATCGTTTTCGTTTCTTCGAGTTGTTTGTTTATTGTTTAAGGACAAACAAGTTCAAGTTGGGGAGAGTTTGATAAGTGTAAATTATAGCTATTTTTGTATATACTTTTTGTTGCACTTATCGATTCTTTGTTATTAATAATCATTGAATAAACTTGAATTTTATGTAAATACGTTTAGTTTGTGTATATTGGTGTTTTTGTATACATAGTGTATCTTTTGATAGTTTTGTATTTATTTTGTAGGTATTTGGCATTATTGGAGCATTGAGAAATAAAGTTCAAATGGAGCTTCAAGATGTGCATTTAATTAATAAAGAAATAAGACAAAAGAGAGAGCCAAGTGAAGTTGTACAGAGAAAGCAACAAAAGTTGTTGGGCTGATGTCCATTGTCGGGCTATGGTCGGGCGAGGGACATCGCATCTGTATTATCGGGCGACGGTGGAGGGAGAATGGACCAATTTTCTAGTTGGGTCTGCCTTGCTTCGTTGTTGTGTCGTTGGGCGAGGAAGAGTAACAGTGTGAGGCAACGTGAGTCTGTCGCCGGGTGAAAAAAGATATTTGTGGCCAGTTGCCTACGTGGCATAGTCCGGGCTAAGAGTTTAGGTAGCATCGTCGTGCGACGTGTTTGTGTCGTCGGGTGACGGTTGCGGAACAAATTTTCTTTATATTTGATTTTCATTTCATTTTGTTTGGTGATGGTTTTTGGGGTGGTTTTTGTTCTCCCAATTCCATAAACCTCATTTTTATACTGGATTAACTTAGATAACAACTATGGAGCTTGCTCACAGATGATCTGAGATAGATTTCTCTTCGACAGACTCTGACAATCCGAAAAGATTTGTGGTTCATTTCTCTTCTTATTTTTGTATTCTCTTTTGGTTGAGTTTGTATATGTATTTAATTTGATCTTATGTATATTTGTCGCCCATGGCGTTATATTTAATTTGCTTTACAAATCTTTGTGGATTGTTATCCTTAATTTTTACTCTGTGCTAGGGATTTGAGTTGTTATAGATATATACTGCTCGAATTTATCTTGGATGATTGTCTAATAGTGTCTAGATTCTAGTGATAGATTTAATGCTATTATTCACTTAGGATATTTGTGATTAATGCCGCTATGTTAGTTGTGTTGGTTGAGAGATTGTTAACACGAGTGACACGATTGACTTCTGTGTTGTTGAAGTGGTTGAGAGATTGCTACCGAGGTGATACAGTGGGTGTTGTGTTTGACATGTGATGACATTGACGAGTATTGCAGGTTAAGTATAATTGGTCGATAAGTCTAAGTCTGTGAGAAGTGGATTATATTTATTACTTGATAAGTTGTGCTTTGGAAGAATGAATTTATTTTCTTGTAAATAGTTTTTACCTTTCCTTACATGCAACCCATTCAACCCCCATAACTCATTAACGAATAATTTATCGAATGACAAATCGATATCAATCTCTATGGACACGATACGATATAACCTATATCACCCGATAAAATTAATAATTTATAATATAACATAAATGTGTTATGATGTGCCTCATTCCTTCATCGTGAAACAACTTCGAGAAGATTTGATGGGTACTTTCACTTTTAGGGTGATAGTTTTGTAGTGTATTCGTCTTTTTGGATTTAGACACTCTCTTTTACCAAAAAAAAAAAAAAAAGTGGACGAGTGAAATGTATTATATCATTCAAAATTAAAACATTTTTTTTTAAATTAATTATTATACATTGATATTCTGTAAATTGTTTTTATATATATCCAATAAAATCGCCTCATAGTAAGAAACCTAAAAATAAAATATTTGTGTAAAAAAAAATTAAAAAAAATAATTTAACTTTTAAATTAAAATAACTCACAATTTTCAAGAAATCTTTTTTACATGTTAGTATTATCCTATTAAAATTAAATTTTTATAATTTAAAAAACAACTTCCTCGTTCCTTTACATTTTCCTAGAGCTCGGCGTGATAAATTGAATTAGTAAAATAATTATTAATTGTTTAAATATTCATTGAAGAGAGTTTATATTTGTTTTCAATTTCGTTTTTTGTTGGGCACTCTAAGACTTTTAAATTTAGTTAAATATTCATAATTTTAATTAAATGTTATGATTTAATGTCACGTTATTTTTTATTTTATTTTATTTCAAAAAAAATTAAAATTTTAATTAATTTATATTAAAAGTACCAGTATTCCACATAAATTCATGGATAAATAAGAATGGTGTGTAAGTCATATATTATTTCAAAATAATAGAGATAAGATTTTTAGTGAATATATAATATCTCTTATTTATTAGATAAAATTTTTATCATTAAATAAATATTTGACTTAATATAGATGATTTCTTGTCATGATAACTCATGAACTTTTAGATTCTATCTAAAGTAACAAATAAAATCATTTTGCAAGATGTACAAATTTGTTTTTATTATTTAATTAAAAAAATATTATCACACAATCTCATTTAATTTAATGGTGAGTGAACCATCATATTTTTGCTCCTTAACTTATTGGTATAGTAAGAAACTTCTATATCTAATAGCTAACCTTAACAACCTATAATTTAAACACCTTAAGCAAGAACACATAGACACTTGGAAAGGTTCACTTAAGACCATAGAGACCATGATCCATATGATAGTGACTGAATGGCTGAATGGCTGTTACGAATGGCTGTTACGAACCGTTTTTTATTCTTGAACAACTGTTGCAAAGAAAACATCAAACATACAATTATCATTATAAGTTCTAATCATCACTGTCGCCGCCATCATTAAAATTCCCACTTGGTGCAGAAGAAGGAACAACAACAGTCCTAGGTTGTTTCAAAATAGGTAATTTATCAACCGGAATAAAAATAGTATCATAATCATACAATTTATCACCATTAACCTCAACTATAGACTTTTCAGTAGCTCCAAACATCAAAGCAATAGATGAAACGTTATCAGAAGGTTGAACAACATAAGAAATCATGAAAGTTGAATTGTTTTTTATTTTATTAGGACACTTGCAAAAGATAGGGACAACAACATTATCACCAATAGAGAGATTAGTAGCAACAATATTGGGATTAACGATTTCAACAGAAGGGTAGGTAGTGAGATTCTGGAAGGTTATAGTTGAGACAATGAAAAAAGTATCTTTTGGTTTGATGGTGTAGTTGATGTTGGAGTAAGAGATGGAACCGAAGGTGGTGTTGATGAAGTTGCAGGAACAGGTTATGGGGATGAGGAGGGGTTGGTTGGGGAGTAAAGGGGTGGAAGGTGAAGAGATGTTGGATGGTTTTGAGATTGCTAGGCGGCTGAGGGAGAAGAGGTCGGAGATGGTAGCTAAGTCGAGGTAGTTTGGTGAGGTAGCTCTGTAGAATGCGTAGGATTGACATGGGTAGTGGTTGGTTTGGTTTTTGGTGGTGGTGCAGGTGTAGCCTGTGTTGTTTTCTTGTCTTGCAGTTTGGGAGTTGAGGAAAGGGAAGAAGAGTAGGAAGAAGAACAGGGTGGAGAATTGGTGGTGATGGGGTTTGAATGTTTTCATTTTTCTGTTGATGTTTGTATGTTTGTTTTGGTTTGTTTCTTGTTTATTTTGCGGAATTTGTAGTCAGTTTTGAGATCTGACTATTCAATGTTCAAGTGAAGTTTCTTATTATGTACATGCAATATTAACTATAATCACGGACTAAATATATTTTTTTAAATACTATATATATATAAATTAATCAAAAGTCAGTCTAAATTAATATTTATATTGTTTTAGAGTTGAAAAATATCCCATGCATGCATTTTATCTCATTATCTCTTTCTTGTATTGTATCAAGTTGTTTATGTTTCAATAATATTGATATTTCGGTTCTACGAACATGTCGTTAAAAGTGATTCGATATTGTGCACAAAATTAACGAGAAAATATTTTGAGTTTTCATCTTTTACTGTCTGTTTTACAAATTTGCGTTGCGCGTAGATCATGTTGGTGTACACGCTTTATTTTTTCAGTATAGTTTACAATCTCGTTCTTAATTGTGAGCGTCTGTTCAGCCGGATATTCATATTCTCATTTTTATTTCGATTTTGATCATTTGTATTTTTTTACTAATCTTTAAGACATGTAGTTTATTTTAATATGTTCATTTTCTTTTTTTATTAATTAATTGTCCGCTTTTTATCGTTTTTGATTATTTTATATATCCTTTTTTTTATTCGGAAAAAATTAAAATAAAATATTATTAAATTTATTAATTTTTACTCTAAGATTGCTTACAGGAATCCTCTTATAGAGTTGATTCTTACATGAATCAACTCTAAGATTGCTTAAAATGGTGTTAACTTGGTTGTCATCAATTCAGTTCATTTCGGTCACGTGGTTTACTCTTGTATTCTAAAATCATATGGACCACTTACATAAGACTTTTGGAATATATCTCTGTTATCTTTTGAAAAGTGTTTGGATAATCGAATCTTAGATAATTAAACCAAAGATAAGATCGAAATTTACTGGTTGTGTCTGTTCTCACCCAAGGTGTTTGTTTGTTTTGTGTAGATAAGCTAATTCAATAATAGGCCCCAAGAAAAGTCATAGTATTCTTACCAAAAATAGATTTGAAAATGTCATACACGGTGTATATGCACGATGCCCTAAATCGATATGAAACCCAAATGTATATGTATATGCACCAAATGTTTTGTATGTTCATGTCCCAAATGTATTGTAAATACTTTTGATCTTTTTCTCCTTTTAAACCATTGGCTCTTTTTCTTTTGTCACCGACTCCCCAACGTTTCACGTTGTTTTATCGTGGCATCTCCAAGTTGATTTGATAAGGTGAATAATGTCAGCAATATTTAAATATTTGTATCATAGGTGTAGGCGTAGTCGTGGACCTCTTTCGATGCTTTTTTTATAACCAAAAAACTCTCTGATGTTTTATCAAATACTTTTTTTGATGTTTCTGCATGTCAGATGCACCAAATGTTATGAATGATCTTGATACTTTGATGTGGTTATGTGTATGTTATGCCTGATGCGAGTCTCTTAATGAGAAATCTACTGTCGATATTTCCAAGGAATCTACTACTGAGATTCAATTAAGGACTACCTACTGCCAAGATCTTTTGGAAAATCATCTGCCGAGATCAACTAGGGGAATCTACTGTCGAGATTCTATTAAGAACTACCTTATGTCGAGGTCTTCTAAAAAATAATCTGCCGAGATTAACCAAGGGAATCTGCTTCCGAGATTCTCTTAAGAAACTACCTTTTGTCGAGGTCTTCTGAAAAATCATCTGCCGAGATTAACCAGGAGTATCTACTGTCGAGATTTTATGTAGAATAGATAACCTGACTGACAATGATGATTGTCTTCACGTGAAACATGGTTTTATACTATGCGTGTACATTTTGATTAATGCATGAAATGTAATGATCGATTGATGCATGTAATGAGTAACTTGGATATGTATTAAAGGATGTTGGATTTTGAAATGCCAATGATTAATTAGGCTTTTTGAGATATACTTGATCCATGCTGTTGAAATTCTTCAAATGAATGAGATGATAAGTATAGCTTGATTATGGATCGAAGAGCCTTAATAAATGATTTATGCAGACTCGTATGCTTTTGACGGATGCCCTTCTGAGGGATCGCAAATGGTTAAGACGTAGAGAGGTTGCCTATGTAACAAGGTTGTTTGTCACATGGTGGTAGAGTGTTGTGCTTGCATGATTTCCTGATACTCGCTTTGAACTCAAAGATTGCTGATGTAGGAGGAGAGTTTGCCCCTTTATGGTCTGTCTTGCCCCAATTTTTTGGTAGGGTCTTGGAGAAATTCTTCTTGACATGATTTCAGAAGTAGTTTGATCATGAATGTACCTATTATCTTAAACTATACTCCTGATTAACAGACTCTTAAAGACAAACGCCTCTGATTAACTTCTCTTGATCGAGTCTCGCAGTGGTTTTCCCCTATATTTGAGTTCCTTGAAAGGTATGCCCCTCAATCTCCAGAACTTGGAGGAGGTACTCTTGGATCTCCATGATATAGGTTTGATATGAATTACCCCAAGTATTCTAATCTTGCGGAGTTTGTATCTAAATTCGCTTGAAGGGGAACTTGAATCCTACATTCCATAAGATGAACTTGATATGCATCTCCCTAACATTTGAGTCTTGGATGGTTACCCCTTGATTATTAGGGCCTTGAGAAGTTTGTTGAAAAGATGAAACTGATTCATACCATGTTGTGATATGACTTGATTAAGGAATGCTCCTTCAAAAGGTATGCCCCAAATTGGTGATTTGAAATGCGATCCAAGTTGATTGAATCTCAGAATAATCACCCCTAATCAATAGGATCTTCATGTGATATGCCCCTACGATCAATAATCTTTCTTGTGATTATAGGGTTCTTTTTTTTGGATGCTTTTCCCCTAGTTAGGAGCTTCCTGGAAAGGATCGCTTTTGATTAAACCAATTTTGAGATCTCCTTTGATTCTAAGTGGCTATTCGTAGATAAAATTGTACATTTTGAAAAGTAATTTTGTTTTATATACATGCAAGTTTTGAAATAGAAGTTTGTTATAGAATAGAAATGGATGATTAGAGATGGAGAATCGAAGAAGCGAAGTGGTCCAAAATAATTTTAACAAACACAGGAGTCAGTTTAACACAATTTTTTCCAAGTATACTTTCATAGTTAACCTTGCTTCAATTAGGACTTTTGAAGGTTGTAATGTGGCCATGGTTCGTGGTTTAATAAATAAAGGATATAAGGCTCAAAAATTTATTTAGACCACCCAATTATCCTTGATGTTCTCCAATCCTAAGTTCAATTAATCCAATGGATGTATTCGGTTTGCAAGAGAATTTTCATAGTTGCGATGATGAGAAGCATTAGTAAAAATTCAAGCATCGATGAATAATATTGATAAGATCCAAGCATTGATGAGAAGTGTAATACGGTGGGAGAACTGACTTTTTGGTTTTATCCAAATATGCGGATAGCAAGAGTCGCCCTGACTTTTCTTTTATCCAATATTTAGGAAAGGTGAAAAGAACAGGAAAGACCTTTGATAGATTTTGAGTTCGGGGGGTAAGTTATGAAAAGGGAAGGTGTTAGCACCCTTTTCATCCATAGTTATCTATGGACTCTTAATTTCTTAGCTCACTTTAGAAAAAACTTGCTTTGTGTGTGTGATTTGTTTGAAAATATTTTGAAATGCCAATGTAAACTAACTTTTGAATGATTCTTGTATCAGTCCTCAAGAATGTATACAAAGTATTTTTGAAAATATTTGTTTGAAAGTGCAGTGTGAAAAATGTTTTGTTTGTGAACAAGCATTTAAGAGTTCTTATCCACCAAAGTCTTTCTTATTATTTTCCTTCTCCTTTGGAGATAGTATTATACATACCATTAGTTGGTAGGTAATCCTATCTATTGGATATGAAGGGACATGCGTAGGGTCATCGAAGGCAACATGTAATGATACTTTAGCAATTGTATCAGAGGGACTATCATCATTTTATAGGAAACTAGGAAGGTCATCGAGAGACTGTGATCTTTTCGAAGGGACTATGATGATTTGATCGAGGGTCTTTTTTTAAAGTATCCCCACTTTTGAGGGACGTGACCAATATTCGTAAGACAACAAGAGAGGTTACCCTAAAGGTGCAAAGTGTGTTAATTTCAGTTATTTTATCTTGAATATTAGGCTTGTCTATGATTTCTTTTAGTCTTGCCATACAAACCCTATTTTATTAGTAGTTAAATATGTATAAAATTTTAAAGTGCAGAATGTAAAACCTAAGCTATTACATGACTTTGGGAGAGATACATAGGTATAAAAATTTGCGGGAAAGTAAACCTACGCTATTACATCCTCGGAGCAGATACATAATAGGAAAAAAATACGGGAATATAAATCTAAGTTATTACATTGATAATGTGACCTATACAATTGTTCTATGAATTTAAATAACAAAGAAAGAAAATAAGAAAAATGTTAGAAAAAATGTTTAAAGTGTTAATGTTTTTGGTGTTTTTATAGAAAATAATTTAAGTGATAATAATAGTAATTAAAACCTAAATTTTAATTTATTTTAATATTAATAAAAAAAGCCAATATAATTAATTAGTAAAAATATATCAAAAAATTTAATTACTAATTAAAAAAACAAATCCTAATTTATTATGGTTTTAAAAAAAAATAGGGTTTGTTAATGATTAATTAGAAAAGAATTAGTTAAGAAAATGAAAGGAAATTAGGGTTAGAAAAATAAAAGAAATAAAATGCATGGGGTGAGAGTTGAACCCACACCTCTGATCTCAAAGAATGCCCTTTTATCCACTGCACCAGCGCTGCGTTTATGTTTGAGAGTAGGATCCAACCAACATATGATGAACCTGCTTGTTACCCTGAAAAACAAAAGAAAATTTGCATAAGGGGCTGGCTCGAACCCACACCCTCACGTATAATGACCATCATTCTTACCACCAGGACGCTTGTTGTTATGCGTTGGTTTAATCATCATCATTTAATATAAT